GAGGAAGTGTAGATAAAACCTTGTTTGTCAAACACTACGGGCAAAACATTGTCATCGCTCAAATATATGTTGATGACATAGTTTTTGGATCAACACTCGAGTTCTACAAAGACCAGTTCATTACTAACATGGAAGGAGAATTTGAAATGAGCATGATAGGAGAATTAAATTACTTCCTTGGTCTACAAATCAGACAACAAGAAAGTGGAATATTTATATCACAAAGCAAATACGCCAAGAACCTAGTCAAAAGATTTGGTCTAGAAGAAAGCAAAATTGTCAGAACACCTGTTCCAACAACAGAAAGGATATCAAGAGATTCAAAAGGAAAACCTGTTGAACAAACCCTATATCGAAGCATGATAGGAGGTTTGCTATATTTAACCGCTAGTATACCAGATTTAAGTTTTGCAGTAGGAATTTGTGCAAGATACCAAGCCAATCCAACTGAGCAACATTTAAAAGCAGTCAAAAGAATTATTAAATACGTGAAAGGGACATCCGACCTAGGGATATGGTATTCTTTTGACACCAATCATCACCTCTCAGCCTATTGTGATGCTGATTGGGCAGGTAACATAGATGACAGAAAAAGCACGTCAGGAGGATGTTTTTTTCTAGGTACCAACCTAGTATCATGGATCAGCAAGAAACAAAGTTCTATATCCCTATCAACAGTAGAGGCTGAATATATTGCAGCAGGAAGCTGTTGCACAATATTACTTTGGATGAAACAAATGCTAGAGGGTTATGGAATACAACAATCAACCATGATAATCCATTGTGACAATAAAAGCGCAATAGACATTTCAAAAAATCCAGTTCAACACTCAAGAACAAAACACATTGACATTAGGCATCACTTCATAAGGGAATTAGTAGAAGATGAAATCATCAGTCTTACCCACATAAGTACCGAAAATCAAGAAGCAGATATTTTAACCAAAGCACTTGATGGAAACAGATACACAAAGTTAAGGGCCGAAATAGGCCTGTGTATCCTATAATTCGCACCAAATAAAAGAGAAGCACATGGGCCAAATCTACAAAATAAAGCCATCAATCAAAACCGGCCCATGTTTGTTACAATCCACCGCCCCATCACAAAAGCCCAAACCCGGATCCACATCTCAAGTAAAAGCTCCATTTCAAAAACAGGGCTATCACTCTTACCCGACCTCACTCGTCATCCACCCGAGAAACCTTCACTCATCCTCACCCTTCACATAAAATTAATCATGGTGAGAACCAGGAATCAAAGAATGGGAAAGTTACCTCGAAGAGGAACAACCAATAGCACCTCGAAATACACCGGCACCGGAGAGTCTTCGAACCCAGTATGTGTCGAAGAAGAAAGTTCCACCAACATTGCGATGAATCCTGTTCCAATAGCCAGAGTACCGTTCAGCGAAGCTCAAGAACAGAGCATCAACCCACCAGGTAACTCGAATCTCCCTCTGATTGACCATGAGGAACCTCCCATGCCCATGCCCATTGCTGCTGATTTTGGAGACAATAGGATCGTTGATCCAAACGATTTAGTGGTACGACTCCGGTTTGCCATAAATCGTGGCTAGGAACCAGATATGACCTCCTACGTTAGCTTTGAAGAAGAGGACAATCCGAGGGAATCGGAAATTGAGGGGCATGAAGATCCTCAAAATCACGAAGTAAATCGTCCCTCAAGCCCTAAAAATGACGAACAAATCATAATTGATAAAACCCCCAATCCAATCCCTCGGGTCAACAAAAACCCTTGAAAGAGGAAGAAGATTGACCCGTATGAAGGAGCAGATCCAAGGGCCCAAAGGCCAAGTGATTTTCCAGTACGTGCAGGACCTCCTCAAAGACCACCAAACATTCCACCAAAACCTGCAAAATCCAAGAAAACAAGAAAAGAAAATACAGAGGATGAACAAAATTAGTTACCAAATGAAGAAATAGAGTCCTCTGGCTGTGAAAGAATAAGAACCCGAGCCCAAAAGAGAACCAACCTAGAAGCTAATATGAAGAGAAATCAATCACAATCTACCAAGGCATCTACCAAAGAAAATGGGAAACAAAAAGTGTTTAGTAGTGATGACATGTCAAACCTACCTAAACTACACAGTGCAACCTTTTTAAACAAGGAGTCTGGAAAGCTATGGAAAAGAATTGTGGAGAAAAAGATCATAAACCAAAAATTACTTGTCACAGACAAACTAGACAACTCAAAGCAGATTCAAGAAGTTCTAATCTCAAATCAACTCCTAGGAACAGTCACCAACATAGAACCTTATGATGAAGAAGTCATCCAGGAATTCTATTGTAACCTAACCAAAACCACCACAACACCCAGCAGTCCTATGTATGGGAAAGTATATTTGAGAGGAAAATTCTATGAGTTTACACCAGAAACAATCAACAACTACCTAGGAACACCTGAGACTGAACATGAGATGGAAATAAACAGTGAACAAGTTGCCAAGGAACTTATAGCAGGAAATGTCAGCTTTGAAAAGAACAAAATCAAAGCAGCTTCTCTAACAAGCAAATATGCCTCACTACATGAATCCACAGTGAAATGGTCCTTAGCAGGGCTGTTGTACAAGATATGATAAGGGGTAAAAATCAACACGGGTGCCATTATTCATACACAAGTCACAGATTTAGCAGAAGACACCAAATCTTATACCTCCCTGATCTTTCCAAACCTCATCTTTGCCATCTTGACAAAACAAGGCCTCAAAACTCAAGGACCAAAGACCACTGTCAAGAACATCAACACAACAGTCAAACTAAGAAAGGGAAACCACCAAAATGATCTAAAGTCCTCTGCTCCAAAGAACAATCCACTTGATTCAAAGACACTAATTAATTACTTTGAAGGCAGACTGACAGTATTGGAAGCCTTAGAAAAATAACTTCTAAGAAAACACCTGAACATCAAAGAGGAAAAAGCAGAAATAATAGAATGGCTGGCAATCCTAAAAGCAGAAAATGAAGAAGATCAAGAGAAAGGAACATTCCCAAGAAGCAGAAAATGAAGAAGATCAAGAGCAAAATCAAGGAACAGAAGAAGATATCCAGGAGCATTCTCAAGAAAAGAGTGTTGAAACACCTGTTTCAACATCAGACTCAGAAGTTAGGGGATAACCGTTTTTAGCAAAAAAGGGGGAGAAACAACAGGCAGACAACAGGAATTTTGTTGCAAACAGCAGGAATTTTGTTGCAACAGGAATTTTGTTGCAAACAGGACATATCTTTTTATGCTCAGACTTTTTTTTTGTGTGTCCCGATTGTTATGTACCAAGTACAAGGTAGACAGCAGACAAGACCTCCTTATGACATATTTTTTGTGTAGTTCTGCTACTACTGGTAGACTCAACTAGAAGAATCAACAGACAAATATTTTTGAAGGACCAGACATATGCACTGAAATGACCTCCTACATTTACTAACAAAATACTATCTAAAGTTAACAATACAACAGCAGGAATTTTGTTGCAAGCAGCAGGAATTTTGTTGCAAACAGGACATATCCTTTTATGCTCAGACTTTTTTTTGTGTGTCCCTATTGTTATGTACCAAGTACAAGGCAGACAGCAGACAAGACCTCCTGATGACATATTTTTTCTGTAGTTCTGCTACTACTGGCAGACTCAACTAGAAGAATCAACAGACAAATATTTTTGAAGGACCAGACATATGCACTGAAATGACCTCCTACATTTACTAACAAAATACTATCTAAAGTTAACAATACAATGATCAAGAAAGATCCCACAAATTAAGTGGGAGATCCACAAATCAAGGGGGAGACATCTCCACGTGTCAACTCTGGTTAAGAATCAAAATGGATCAAGGTTTTTGCTAAAATTTGACAAAGGGGGAGAATGTTGAGATAAGACAAATTGTCAAATTCTAGACAAATAGGGAATACTAAGTCAGACAAGTCTTAGGAATTATATTCCTAATCTAAATAGGAATAACAATCCTATTCATTGTCTGTACTTCATCTCTTGGCCTATAAAAGAAGCTGCTCCACAACTCTTCAAGATAAGTTTTCAACATCTAATTGTGAGCACGAGAGTCATTGAGAATAGATACCCAAATCCCCTTGAAAAGTAGTACAAGTGTTTAGGTCACAATAGTTTGATAGGAAATCATATTGTTTAATCCCCGTTCCTTAAACCACGTGTACTTTGAATATTAAGCTTTTAGTGGATTTAGGGAAATTCTCAATTTGAGAAGTGCCTCGCAGATTAGGGTTGTTTGCCCAAACTGCGTTATTAATTAATTGTGTCACAACGTCAGTTACAACGTTACTGAGTCCAACGTCTATATTTATTTCAATAGTGATTTTTTTTAATGGAAGAAAGATACATTCTTAACTGTACTTTGACTAAAAAATGTATGTTCCAACTTCCAATTTAGAGTTTTGGTCGTTGTGAAAGGCCATAAGGGAAAATACTTTCGGATAGCAATGTAGGAATTACCCTATTGGTTCCTCTCATGAAAATGACACATTCTAATCGAAGACAACTATTCAAATTTTAAAGGAAGTAATTCTCGCTTATACTGTCATATGCAATGACTATTTATAAAAGTCAGAGACAAACTCTATCACATGTTGGGCTATTATTGAAGAAATTGGTGTATGGTCCGTTGTTCGTGGCTGCATTTTGGATTAGCAATTCCAAAGGATTAAAAATATTGGTATGTAGTGAATTTATATAATGTTAGTACTTCAACTATTAATATTATTTATCATGAAATTTTCAATAATTTATAATTTTTATTCTTCTTTTTAATAAATATCTTAATTTCATATTCTTTCTTTTATTTATAAATTTTATTTCAATATGTTAGATATATGAATTCGTTTTTTCAAATTCAAACAATTATGATGAGGATGAATAGTCTGTGTATTATGATTAACCAGGAATACCGTGCAGAGAATATATCAACAATAATAGAGTCCTAATACAATGATACTACTAGACTCCTAACACTCCCCCTCAAGCACAAGGTTGAGGAGCAGCAACATTGATCTTGCCACGAAGAAAAGTAAACCGAGGCCCAGATAAGCCCTTGCTAAAAATATCAGCCAATTGATCCTTCGTAGAAATGAAGTGAACCTGCAGCTCTTTCTTCGCCACTTTGTTCCGAACAAAATGGTAATCGATCTCAACGTGCTTAGTCCGAGCATGAAACACCGGATTTGCACACAAATACGTGGCACCCAAGTTATCACACCACAGCTTGGGCGGAGAAGCAGGCGAGAAACCGAGCTCAGTAAGCAGCGAGACCAGCCAAGTTAGCTCAGCAGATACATCAGCCAAAGCCTTATATTTAGCTTCCGTAGAGGACCGGGCCGTCGTACGTTGCTTCCGAAAGACCCAGGAAACCAAATTCTGACAATAAAAAATTGCAAAACCACCAGTGGACTTGCGGTCATCCGGGTAACCAGCCCAGCCGAAATCCGAGAAAGCAAGAATATCAGTCGAAGAAGAGCGACAAAGACGAAGACCAAGATTAAGGGTACCTTTAACATAGCGCAAAACACGCTTCAGCATGCCCCAGTGCTCCGTTGTAGGCGCATGCATGTGCTGACAGAGTCTGTTCACCGCATAGGACAAGTCGGGCCGAATCACTGTAAGATACTGCAGAGCCCCAGCTAGACTGCGGTATTGAGTCGGATCAGCATACGGAACCGGCGGATCAGTACCAACACGAGTCAGAGATACAGGAGTAACCAACGGCTTACATTCAACCATACCAGCACGCTTCAGAATGTCCGTCATGTAGCGTTGTTGAGAAAGAAGCAATCCATCCTTAACCGGTATCGTCTCAATACCAAGAAAGAAGGACGGAGCACCCATATCACGGATCTTGAACTCATAACCCATCTTCGCCACCAGACCATCCACACTAGCCAAGTCGGACCCCATAACAAGGATAGCGTCAACATACACTAGCAAATACAGAGTAACAAAACCACGCACATAAATAAATAATGAGACATCCGTTTTAGACGGAACAAAACCAACAGAAATCAAGAATAGATGCAACCGATCAAACCAAGCACGCGGGGCCTGCTTAAGCCCATAAAGAGACCGCTGTAATAGGGCACACATGATCCGGCGCAGTTTTGTCCTCATACCCCGGTGGCTGACGCATATACACGGTCTCAGCTAAAGTGCCATTAAGAAAGGCATTATGAACGTCCAGCTGACGCACCGCCCAACCACGAGAAACGGCCAAAGAAAGAAGCAATCGAACCGTAGTCGGCTTGACCGCCGGACTGAACGTCTCAAAAATATCTTCCCCGGCGACCTGATTAAAACCCTTAGCCACAAGACGGGCCTTGTGACGCTCTATTGATCCATCAGCCTTGCGTTTCGTACGAAACACCCATTTGCAACCAACCACATTCATCCCAGGGCGAAACGGAACCAACCGCCAGGTATGATTCTGGAGCAAGGCACTAAACTCAAGATCCATAGCATCGCGCCACTCAGGATACTGCACAGCCTGAGTGAAGCATGTAGGCTCCGAAGCACCAACCTGCAAAGTCAAAGCCAACAACGATCCAACAGACTTACTCCGAAGAGACATCACACGAGTACGAACCGCGGGACGCCGAACACGACGCCCACGGCCCACCGGCCTGGACTGAACCTCAACACCAACATGAGCAACAGGATCAGTAACTATCCGGGAGCTAGACGAGTCTGACGGACACGAAACGGCAGTAGGCAAAGAAGGAGCCGAAACTTGAACAAGAGCCACACCCCACGGCTCTGCCGTCATCAAACCAGGACCCTGCAGAGATACAACAGCTGAAAAGGGAAAAACGGTTTCATCAAATCGTACATGACGTCAGATAAATACCTTGTTAGTATTCAAGTCCAAGCAACGGTAGCCACGATAGGACACAGGATAGCCAAGAAATACACAGCGAGCAGAACGAAACTGTAACTTATTTTTGTTGTATGGACGCAGAAGGGGGTAGCATAGGCACCAGAAGACACGCAAAAACAAGTACGAAGGAGGAGAACGATGAACACAAAAATGTGGGCTATCATTTTGAAGCATACGAGTCGGCATTCGATTTATGAGATACACCGCGGTTTCAAACGCGTAATCCCAAAAACGGACAGGGACTGAGGCTTGAGCCAGTAGGGCCAACCTCGTTTCAACAATATGACGATGACGGCGTTCTACCCGACCATTTTGTTCGTGGGTATACGCACACGACTGCCTATGATTAATACCAAGGACAGACAACCGATTATGTAATTTTTTGTACTCCCCCCCCCCCCCCCCCAAGTCAGACTGAATTGAAACAATTTTGCGATTAAACGATCGCTCAACTACACAACAAAACTGCTCAAAAATTGCATAAAGATCGGTTTTTGCACGCATAGGATAAAACCAAATATAACGCGAAAAAGCGTCCATAAATATAACAAAATACTTGTAACCATTTGTAGAAAGAACGGGCGCAGGGCCCCAAATATCCGTATACAGCAGTTCTAAAATATGCGAAGTAGACGACGCAACACGGGAAAGGGGAAAACGGGAGGATTTCCCGAGTTGAGATGCAGAACATAACGACAACAAATGACTAATACTAGACGAACTACCAGAACATGTATTAAGTATTTGACACATAACACGAAGATGCGGATGACCCAGCCTATTATGCCAAAGCGAGGGAGAAACCCGAGTAGCCTGAAACGCAGCAGGACGACAAAGAGAAACCGGCCACGAATAAAGACCACCCGAAGCACGACCTTTAAACAGAACCGGCTTGGTGGAACGATCCTTCACAAAAAAACAATCAGAATAAAATTAAAAGTAGACATTATTATCGCGAGCAAATTTCTGAACAGACAGCAGAGACGCAGACAGACCAGGAACGAATAATACATCAGACATATTAAACGTACGACTAGGAGTAGCTACCGAAGCCGAACCAATGCTAACTATAGGCATACCTGAACCGTTACCCACACGGAGCGTGTCCGACCCAGTGTATTCGGACGCAGAAGACGTCACTGACGGATCGGGGGTGGCATGATTGGACGCGCCGGTGTCGGGAAACCAATGGTGCGGTGCAACAGAACTCACATCATCAGCGGAGTAAGCAACATTCACCTGCAGACCCGGTGCAGCCGTGAATCGCCGATAACAAGACAAAGTCGTGTGTCCAACGGCATTACATATCTGACAGCGGACGCCGGATCTGCCACAGCCCCGGCCACGTCCTCGCCGTCCTCGACCACCTCGGGCAGAAGGCTGCTGCTGACCACCAGAACGGCCGCCTCGCTGAGCAGCCATAGCCACCATCGCACCACCATGATCATCAGCTCCGATGAAATCCTGAGACATAAGGAAATCTGATAATTCCGACAGCGACACCGGAGCACCACGCGTGAGACCAGCAACCAAGGGGCGATACTCGGTACGAAGACCACGGAACACATAAAGATCTTCAATCAACATTCGCGCTCGTCCGAGATAGTCAGAGACGGAGCTATCACCTTGCCTCAACCCCTGGAGTTGGCCGAGAAGATTAAGAGCCCGAGCTCTTGTGGAGGAGCCCAGCGACTGCTCGACTGCATTCTAGAGCTGCCGCGATGAAGCACATCCCACCGCCAAATGCATGACTTCTTCCGAGAGGGAAGAAATCAACAAATACAAAATCACCTGATCTTGACGCAACCAGGCATTGCGAGAGAGCGGCACGACATCGCCACTGTCGGGAGCAGCTATAGCAGTTGGCGGTGGAGGCGGAATGGCAGGAGGACACACGAAGGTACCATCAACAAAACCCAACAAGCCCTAGCCACGTAAAAACGGGATGAGCTGGGTTCTCCATAACAAGTAATTGCGGGTGGAAAGCTTGATCGACACAAAATGATGTGCCGACGATAAAGAGGCAGTGGTAGGCATCGGTACCGACATGGCAGCCTCAGAAACAGTCCGTCCAAAAGATGAAGCCGCAACAGAACTGTTAGTAGAAGGAAGAGACTGAATAGTCTGTGTATTATGATTAACCAGGAATACCGTATAGAGAATATATCAACAATAATAGAGTCCTCATACAATGATACTACTAGACTCCTAACAATTATAATAATACAAATGAAGCAGCTTAGCTGAAATACTTTTTTATTTTTGCAATTACTTTTCATTACTTTGTATTACCCCAATGCAAGTAATAGCCGGCTAAGTAAATGTCCTACCTACTCATTTCCCAAGCAAAATACATTGATAGACTAACCTGCAATAATATGAATTCAAATCCTACCAATATAATCTTTGCAACCTTATATTACAAATCAAAATTATTTTAAATCTAAATGAAGACAATATTTATGAAACGGTATGATGATTTATCATGAAGTGTTTAATAATGTATAATATTTTGTCATGTACATAATATATAATATAATGTTAATTTATTATTCTCAAACATTAAATTGTACGTGATTGAATTTTTCTTTGTTTGGACTTCAAATACCATATTATAGTTCGCAACTAATAAATAAAAACACTTATTTTTATCTATTATAACATTGCAAACAAATCTTTAATATTTAGTCGTGCGATGCACGGGACAATACTAAGCTAGTTTTTTTTTATATATAGATGGTTATAATTTAACAAAAAAAGAAAGAAAAACAATAAGCTGGATATGCAAACAATCAAGCAAAGTGATAATTTTTGTTAGGCCAGGATAGGTGTTATTCAGTTTATCTGAACTTAAACCTAATATTTAATTTGAATTTAAAAATTTAGGTGAACTCATAGAATTTTAAATTTGCATATATTAAATTATGGTATGTGTTGTTTTTGTTTTTAGCAGTTTAGAAAAAATTACGGAGTTATTAAATAATATTTTTGGTATTTTGATTAAAAACAAAATGTTAAAATGGCATATTTGTTAAAATTTTGGCGAATTTGTTAATAATCAAACATGGTCATTATCTAATAATTAATATGACAATTAACAAATTAATTGTATATGTATTAAAGTTCGTTTGGAAAGTAGGAAAATGATTTCTGAAAAATGAGTTATTTTTTCAAAAACATTTTTCTTTTCAATGTTTGGCTGCACAACTTAAAATTGTCTTTGTGTATTTGATTTATTTTTTAGAAAATGTCTTTGTGTATTTGGTTCATTTTTCAGAAAATGAACATGAAAATGAGTAGAATTGTATACTTAAACACTTTAATTGTTATATATTCAAAAATTATTTTTATTGTTTTGTTTAGAATATAACAACTTTTATTTTAAATTCCATGCAACATAAGTTTTGGTTGTATTCAATGGAGGATCATTTTTTTTTTTATCAATTTTAAGAAGCCGTAATGGCTTCTAATTTTAGTTTTTTTAAAATTTTTATTTATTAGGGGATTTTGGGAAAGATTAATCTTAATTTTTCCCCAAAATGTATATGCGGTTTTAGTTTTTAGTAGTTCAGAGCAAATTGATGAGTTATCAAATAGTATTTTTGGTGTTTTGATTAAAGACAAAATGTTAAAATGGTGGATTTGTTAAAATTTTGGGAAATTTGTCAATAATCAAACATGGTCATTTTCCAATAATTATTATCGAAATTAACAAATTAATTGTACAGATATTAAAGTTCGTTCGGAAAGTAGGAAAATGAGTTTTTTTTTCCAAAAAATATTTTTCTTTTCAATGTTTGGCTGTACATTAGAAAATTGTCTTTGTGTATTTGATTCATTTTTCAGAAAATGTCTTTGTGTATTTGTATATTTGTCTTTGTGTGTATTTGAGTCAATTTTCAGAAAACGTCTTTGTGTATTTGGTTCATTTTCCATAAAATGAATAGGAAAATGAGTAAAATTGTATACTTAAACATTTAATTGTTATATATAAAAAAAAATATTTTTATTATTTTGTTTATAATATAACAATTTTTATTTTAATTTCCTTGCAACATAAGTTTGGGCTGTATTCAATGGTGGTGGGCGGCAGTGAGTAACTAGCTGCTCCTCTACTGCAAACGAAAAATGACTTCCTACAAAAAAAAATGGAAAGTCATTTTCCAGAAACTTCCCCTCTCAAGCCAAACACTAAACTCCTAGAAAATGATTTATGGAATTATTTTTTGGGTTTCCAAACGCAACTTTATTATAATTGACTAATAATTATTATGATAACTAAGCTAATAATCTATCTATACTTATTATTAAAAACAAATTCTTTCTTTCATTATTGCCCAAACACTTCTTCCCAAACAATAGAAAATGAAAAATGAAAAAGGAAACGGAAGTAACTTAACAACAACAACAACAACAACAACAACAACAACAACAATAATAATAATAATAATAATAATAATAATAATAATAATAATAATAATAATAAATACATAAATAAATAATCTATACTATAATTACAAACAAAATCCTATTTACTTGATTTCCTGCCCAAACAATAGTAAATAGTAAAGGTAAATTAAAAAAGGAACGTAAACTAAAAAAAGAATAAAATATGTCACAATAATATTATGCATCATCAATTAAAAATGGAACGAGAATGATGTAAATTGGAAAATGAAATGAATATTAATAATTGACTGAAAATTAAAAATGGAAAAATGAATGGAAATTAGGTTAATTGGAAAAGGAAATGAATATTAATAATTGACTGAAAATAAAAATAAACAATGATCCATAATTTACTAAAATGGAAAAGAAAATGGTTATATTATTGCATTGTAATTTTTCACAATAATATTACACAGTAGAATAAATCAAATAACAATTATTTCATAAATCTTTTACAATTTCAGACAATGGAACAAAAATATTTCAATAATAATTTTCTACATCATCAAATAAAGAAAAATTAAAATTGAAAATAAAATATTTCAATAATAATATTCTACATCATCAATAGTAAATGTATTTTAAAAAATAGTAAAGGTAAATTAAAAATGGAAATGAAACATTTCTGATAGATACCCCAAATCAGCCGCCTGGACGCGAGGCCAGACGAGGCAGCCAGATCTACAGGCGATGCGTCACTTGATGGGAGGAAGATCCTCGAAGACCTCCCGGACACGGTACAGGACGCCCCAAAGTGGCAGCGACTCACCTCTTAGCAGCCAGCCCGCCAGTCGGCGCGTCCCCGGGCGGACTCTCAAAAGTGATGCAATCGGGCAACCAATTATGGTGGTCGGCGTGTCCCTGGCTAATCACCCCCACAGGGTTCGGTTGGGCGACCAGGCTACACGGGCGGTGCATCCCCGACCGCGTGCCTTTCCGGGACCCAATCGGGCGACCAGGCTTTGCGGATAGGGTGCCATTTCTAGGGGCAAGCACCCAGGAAGGCGCCCCCGCGCAGTCGAGACCATTCCTGGCCTGGTGCACACCTAGAGACGCGTATGAATGGATCCTGTGGAAGCAATCTTTGCTCATTAGGCAGTTTCCTGAGTTAATTTAGACGATAAAGGAAGTTAGTTAGCGCCAAGCGGTTGCATCAGCCCTTACATCAACCCTACTTCTTTGACTCGGCTGAAACGCCAGCCCTACTTACCATGTATAAACCTCACATCTATGTATAAATATACCCCTGGGATCATCATGTAAGGGATCGGCATTTTTGGAGGGCAAAAAATCTAGAAAAATAAGATTACATTATTCTCTATCTCATTGAGATCTTGATCCTTGTTTTCATCACCTCCAAAAAATAACAAATATCCGGTAGTGTTGACCTGCCGGGCAGCCATCGAGGCTGTGAAAACCAACATTGGCGCCGTCTGTTGGGATCGAAACTAAAGGTCCCGTTCCTAAGCTTTACTGATGGCACGTATGAAACGCAGCAATCGCAAAACCGGTCCCAACGCTGCTACCCAGCTGGCTAAGGGGCATGTGACAGTTATCGCGAACCCGCCAGAGCAGCTAAATCGCCACGCCTCTGGGAGGCAATCGGCTGCTCGTATTGTGCGTACTGTCGCGCCGACCCATACCTTAGCCATCGAGGGGGAATCCGCCAGCACCTATCGCTCAGGCCCAAGCCAACTTTGCGGAGTTGTTGGCTCAAGCCTTTGAAGCATACGTGCGAGGGCAAGGACCGGAGCTCCCGGGCGAGATCTGGAGGCCCGCGTGATTGGTTCCTGCGGAGGCACAGCGAGGAGTATCCAGGCATTCGGAACACTCGGGGATCAACCCGCCGTCTGATCGGGGGGCTAATCGCTCAGCGCATTCTAGGCTCGGACCCGTAGCCCCGGCGCAGTCAGTCATGGAGCGCTTCGGTGGATGGGGCGAACAGCAACCGCCTGCCCGGTCAACCGATGAGCAGCCGCCGACAAAGGCAAGAAGCTGCAGAAAGCATGAGAGAGTCATCCGTGCAATCCAGCCAGAATAACCCAGAAATGGCCGGCCTATTCGCTGCCGTGCAGCAGCTGCGGCAGATAATCGAAGGAAGAGATCAGTTGGTTGCAGATAGCCTCTTGACTGCCTCACCCTTCTCGGCACAAGTGCAAGCTTATTGGGCGCCGTGCGGATTCAAGCTGCCCGATCATCCCACTTACGATGGCACAGGGGATTCGCGCGACCATGTCATCAGTTTCCAGGCCAAGATGTAGGTAATCGAGGCCGATGCTCCAATGATTTGTCGGGCATTCTTCCCGACACTAACCGGACCAGCTCAGAGGTGGTTCATCAGGCTCCCCGCGGGATCCATCAACACTTTCGAGTAGTTAGCCACCCAGTTCCTAATACACTACGCTGGAAGTCTGAAGCGTAAGAGATCTGTCTTGGATTTTTCCAGGATATACCAAGACGAAGGGGAGTGCCTACGCAAGTATATTGCACGTTGGCAAAAAGAAGCGTAGGCGGTGGATGGCCTTAACAATCAGACAGCTATGATGTTCTTCATCGAATCCTTAAAAGTGAATGGGCACTATAGCTGGTTGCGGGACGAGAATCCCAAAACATACGCAGAGGCTATCCAGGCGCAGACAAGAAGTTTCTTCTAAAAGACCCCGGGCAGATAACCCTCACGAGGGACGAGCGGCGGAGGAAGGCGTTACTCGTGTGAGAGCTCGTCGAATCATGGATCGACTAAGAGCTCCTGCCCCTCGGCCGATGGCACAGCCTGTCCACGAGGTTCGTGCCCGGTTGCCTCCGCCTCCCCCTATTTGCCCAAGTGGTCGAAGCAAGCCCCCCACCTTATTGCCGGTACCACCGCACAAGCAATCGTTCTACGGAGGATTGCGAGGGATTAAAGGAAGAAATTGAGGCGGTCATTAAGAGTGGCATGCCATTACCCTTTAACCAGTTGCGTAGGCCAGGCTCGGCTGGGCAGCAAGGGGTGACTGAGCAAAGCGGCGTGAAAACCGACGACAAGGGTAAGCAGCCCATGCGAGAGGAGGACGGAGATCGGAATCGGGAGCACAAGCCGGTGATTAACATGATAGTCGGCGGTCTCGAAGGTGGTGACTCTGTGAGAGCCCGGAAGGCACGCGCCTGACAACTTTACGTGGGTGCAATAGTATTCCAGGAGCCAGACCGTAAGTAGATGTGCAGAGAGACGATTGTATTTACGGACGACGACTTACCCAGAGGCCTCACGCCACATCGGAACGCCCTGGTTATCACAATGGACATTCAGGGAACGGTCACCCGGCGGGTGCTGGTGGACACGGGTAGCAGCGTCAACGTATTGTACTGGGAAGCCTTTCAGAAGTTGGGCTTGGCCCGGGAGCAGATGCGACCAGTCAGGACCCCTTTGGCCGGGTTGACCAGTGACGCGGTCGAGGCTGAAGGATGCATCTCTTTGACCGTCGTGCTGGGCACTTGGCCTCAGGTGAGAAGATTGGAAATGGATTTCGTCGTCGTTGCTTAGGAGTGCGTATACAACTTTATCCTCGATCGACCTGGGAGAGAGGATCTGGGAGCCTTGATCTCCATCGAGCATCTGTGTATGAAGTTTCGCACACCGACTAGCGTCGGAGTGGTGCGGTGTGATAAGAAGATGGCTCGTACTTGCTACCTACAGGCCTGCCAAAGGTTGGTCAGAGTTGTGATCGAGTGAACACTATTAACCACCAAGTGTCTGGCCAACCAGCTGAGCGTGTGACACCGGCAGTCGAGCTGGAGAAAATCATCTTGGAGGCTGAGTATCCCAACAGAGTGGTCCGGATTGGGATTGGCCTGCCTACCTCTGTGAAGCAGGCGGTCACGACAATCTTAAAGGAATATAAGGAACTATTCGCATGGGAGCCTGAGGACATGCCGGGAGTCAATCGACCAATCATAACTCACAGGTTGGCGGTCGACCCTGTAACACCTAAGATTTTCAGGATATTTAAAACTTATAAAATAAAGGTGAAATCTCGTTGAATCCCAAAACATAGTACAGGAGTATGGGGTGCTATGCCACACTTAAGCTAGAGAACTCAGGTGCACAGGCTAACTGACTAATATCCTCAAATAGTATCAGTACTAAATCATGGCACGCATGCCGAAAGGGAAAAACTATCTAAGCTATGTCCAAGCTTCTAGCGTGCTCTAGTGAACTACTCGTCTGTGCCTGAAAGCCAAATATATCTGTTCAGCGAGAGATGCTGGTAACCCACTCCAACGCGTTGAAATACAATACATATAGAGATATATATGGATATACGAAAACCATTTTAAAGCATGAAGATATATCCTATGAGACTCTAGCTTTTAAAACCGGGAATGACTCGACAGATAAGGCTAGACACAAGCAACAGTTATAACAGGCGTATACAATCCTCCACGGCAAGACAGATAGAGCTGAGCACAATTAATAATCATAACCCAATGTAAACAATCCCCAGCATAGATCCCATAGTCACATCCCCCAATATAATCATAAACACACTCATCCATATCTCATCACATAGCACACTTTGTTGGCGCCACAGGACCAATCGCATGCCCATACATGAGGGTCAGCGCATATAGCTCTGACACGGCCCCGCAGCACCCTGCCCCGTCTCACCTTACGGAGGAGCCGATCGCAACCGACTAATGAACCGCAGTTCTATATAATATTTATATACCTGACCGGTCTCTACCAGCCTGGTTAACAGCCGGTATGGTTCTCAGCCCATCCGACTGCCCGTATAGTGGACCTTTGTCCTATATAATATTTATATACCTGACCGGTGTTTACCAGCCTGGTTAACAGCCGGTATGGTTCTCAGCCCATCCGACTACCCGTATAGTGGAACTTAGTCCTATATAATATTTATATACCTGACCAGTCTCTACCAGCCTGGTTAACAGCCGGTATGGTTCTCAGCCCACCCGACTGCCTGTATAGCCCGATTGATCTCAACCAATTCGTGGTGACACGCACACATAACACGTAGCAAGCACATGCAACCCACATTAACACATTGGGAAGGGGGAGAAAACATATAACAAAACCTATGCGTGATCTTTCACATACTAAGAATAACCCTAAAGGGTTCATACTCCTTTCACCTAGGTCAGCGGGATACCAATTCAACTAACATGCAATATATAAGACTCATACAACCTACGAACGGTACCCGAAATATCAAACTAGACATAGGCATGATAGACGGAGTCCGTTGGGACACCACAGGGGTCGGGGAAACATCAAACGGGGAAGCCGAAACCCCGGGTTGGGGTATTTTCCAGCGGGTAGCCGGTGGGTGGGGGTCCACCCGCCGGCTGCCCGCCCGCGTGCACTGTTCCGGGCAACGGGTGCCCGGCGGGCAGCTGCCCGCCCGCCGGCTGCCCGCTGCCGGGACTGCCCGTCTCGGCCGCGGGTAGGTGGCGGGTCCCCTACCCCCACCTACCCTCCACTGACTCTTTCATCACAAAAACGCCCCGGGAACCATTGTGGAACCCGAAACCATGCTTAGACACTTTACAACGCAATTAACGATCAACACGTAGTCAATTAACGGATCAAATACGAGAAACGTACGGCACATAACCTATCATGCTTTTCTAACATAATCGACACCCTAAACATGCGATTTCCCACCCGACACGCCAAGAATGATATCATACGATACGACCTAAGGTTCTAATCACTTTTATACCCATAAGAATACGATTCGTCCTCTAATTACAAGATCCGGTGCAAATAAAACATAAGCATCAGGAATGCCATACAATTATCAAAAATGACATATAAACATCAAGAACTCCACATAATCATCAAGAACATCATAATTATCAAGAATCTCCCAATATCAAGATCACTCATGGAATTATCCCATCAATCATCAATAATAATGTCGCAAATCATCAATACACAATAATATGGGGAAATCCTACGGGGGAAATCATAGCTATAAAAATAGGTTTTGTTGAGACATGGGTTACCTCTTAGCCTTAATTAATTCCTTGGCTATGAAGGGTCTTTCTTTAAGCTTTCTTGCTTTCTTGATTTCTTCTAGGGGGATTCTTGGAGCTCTTTGGGGGTGGTGGGCGTTATTCTTGTGGTGGGGGTTTCTAGGTGCCCCTTAAGTCCCCTATTTATATATTTAGGTGTCTTAGTTAGGAACTAATATTATGGGCTTGCTAGTTCTATTTCTTTTGGGACTAAGGATTGGGTTTAGGGATAAGGGCCCGTGGACTATGGTGGGCCTTCCTAATTAATTATTGTGATTTAATTCTTTCTTTTGGGTAATTGATTAAATGATTTAATTGATCTTAGGGGTCGTAACACGGGGTCTTACAGACCCCAACTTCAAGCCCGTGGCTCTGAAGAGGAGGTATCTGTCAAATGACCGGAGGGAATTTGTAAGGAAAGAAGTGGATGCACTGCTAGCCGCAGGGAACATTTAGGAGGTTAAATACCTCGGCTGGCTGGCCAACGTGGTGTTAGTTCCCAAGCCGCTGACGTGGAGAATGTGCGTCGACTACACCGACCTCAACAAGGCGTGCCCAAAGGATCTGTTCCCTCTGCCCCGGATCAACCAGTTAGTTGACGATACGGCTGGTTGCGCCCTGCTAAGCTTCATGGACGCCTTCCGCGGGTATCATCAGATATTCATGCACGAATCAGACGAGGAAAATACCGCCTTCATCACCCCGGACGGGGTGTATTGTTAAAAGGTAATGCCTTTCGTTCTAAAAAATGCTGGAGCTACCTACACTCGGATGGTGGCCCGTTTGTTCAAAGGGCTAATGGGTGGATCTATCGCCGCCTACGTGGATGACATGCTTATCAAAAGCAAAGAAGAGACGGACCACGTGAAAGACTTGATGGGCTGCTTTGAGATCATGAGGAAGTTTAACCTAAGGCTAAATCCCAAGTGCGCATTTGAGGTCCGCGGAGGAAAGTTTCTAGGACACATGGTCACCCGGCGAGGAATCGAACCGAATTCAGAGAAAGTGCGGGCCATCCTGGATATGCAACCACCCAACAGTCTCAAAGAAATGCAGCGATTGACAGGACGGATGGTTGCCCTCAGCCGATTCTTGTCTAAGTCCGTCGATAGGGCCCTACCTTTCTTTGAAGTCATGAAGAGGCAGGACGGCTTCCAGTGGACTGGAGAATACCAGGTAGCCTTCGAGGACTTGAAGAAGTACCTCCTGGCTCCGCCCCTCCTGTTGAAACCCAAGGCGGGAGAAACATTGTTGTTATACCTAGCTGCCTTCCATAAGACGGTCGGAGCTGTGCTAGTGCAGGAAGAGGAAAAGGCTCAATTGCCAGTCTACTACATTGGGCAGACTCTGAATGGCGTGGAGATCAATTATTCACCTCTAGAGAAAGTAGATTTCGCCCTGGTCACAACGGTTAGGAAGTTGGTACCTTAGTTTCAAGCTCATACAGTTCGGGTTCTAAATGACTTGCCCCTGGCCAGCGTGCTGCGCAGTCCGGCCTCATCCAGACGACTACTCAAGTGGGCGATGGAGCTCACCCAGTACGAGATCGAATACGCCCTGCGACCATCCATCAAGGCTCAAGCCTTAGCTGACTTCATAGTAGAATGCTCCGCCTACCCGATCGAGGGCTCGTTGGTCGAAGGCCCAGAAACAGCGGAAGGGTGGGAAATACACACTGACGATGCTGCCGGCTCCAAACACTATGGGGGCGGGGTTATGATCACCACCCCGGAATGATTCGGCCTATACAACGCCTTGAGGTACAATTTACAGACTTCGAATAGCGATGGCGGAGTACGAGGCGGTCATCGGGGGGCTGCGTTTAGTCATCGCCCTCCATGCCGCCAGGGTGAGCATAAAGACGAATTCCCGCCTGGTGGTCAACCAGCTGAAGAACGAATGCGTGACCAGGGTGGAGAGGCTAGTACTCTATAAGGATGTGGCCGAGGGGTTGCTAGATAAATTGGAAGCCTATTATATTACACACATCCCGCGAGGGGAAAATACGGAGGCAGATATCCTATCTAAGTTGGCTTCGAGAAGTACGCCTTTACACCTGTCGATGGCTTGTTGCATCGAGGTCGTAGAACAGCCGAGCACCGAAGTGCTCTCGGTTTGCACAGTTGTCCGGGTGTTCACTTTCCCGCCTGGCCACAAGAACTCCTCGGATTGGCCATGGTTTACGGACATGGTCAGATACAAACAGAAAGCAGAGTTGCCCAACAAAAAGGAAGACGTTGATCGCATTTGGAGGAGGGCTCCCTCCTATGAGTTGGTGGATGGGTTGCTCTATAAACGATCCTATGGGGGACCACTATTGCATTGCCTACCTCCCAAAGATGCTAAGACCGTGATGACTGCCGCCCATCGAGGGATCTGCGCGGCCCACCAGGGGGCCAACACTTTGTCCAAAAAGCTCATCATTCAAGGCTACTACTAGCCAACCATGGTAAAAGATTTCGTCGACGAAGTGCTAAGATGCTCCGTGTGCCAAATGTTCGCTAGAAAGGGCCCCCGACCAGCGACCTTCTATACACCAATCACCACCACGATCCCATTCGCAAAATGGGGTATCGACCTGCTCGGGCCACTCCCCCAGGCGCCCGGTCGAGTGCGCTTCTGTATAGTGACCGTGGACTGTTTCACTAAATGGGCAGAGGTATAGCCCTTGGCGACTATCACCGAGCACTAGTACAGAATAGAGCAAAGAAATCCTACTATAAGCTACCCTTCTTTAAACAAGGGTAGTGTATTATTTTAAAAAAAAAGGGCGGTGGCATAATTGTAATTAAATGAATAAGAAATCGCTACCCTTTCTAAAAGAAGGGTAGCGGTTTAGAAAAAAAAAAAAGACGGAAAGAGTTTCCACTGCCCTTTCGCGTAGAAAAGGGCAGCGGAAACGATATTATAAAAAAAAAAAAAAATTAAAAAAACCTAACCCTCGTACAACTCGTTCTCCATCCTCTCACCACCAAGGCTTCTGCAAACCTAACCATCCCCTCACCGCTCAATCTCACCACGGCCGGCGAGGACACCGCATCTCGATCTACTCACCGCATCTCCGGCGAGGACACCGTCTCATCGTCGATTCACTGCCCCACAACCTCATCCGCCGTCTCCACCGCCACAGGGTCGCCGACGCTGCTTCGAGCCGCCGCCGCTGCTTCGAACCACCGCTCCAGCCCCTGCTTCGTTTAATCATTTCATCATCTCAGGTAGTACTAAATTGCATATGCAGATATTTTTTTATTTTTTGATTTGGTTTTGGGTTTCTGCATCCTTTACTAAGATGCCATGTCCATATGCCTTCTTTTTGGAACACCTGCTACTCCATACCTCTGTCTTTTCTTGGCTCACGCATATTCATCTGCTTTAATTTGACCGTTGACCGCTCCGTTCAATAATTTATTGTTACTATTTAATAATTTATTGTTTTCTGTATTTTGCATTACTTGATCATAGATCAAAATCCAGGGGCAGGGGCCTGAAAATATAGTAGAGTGTATAGAAGATGTTGAAAAGGCCTGTCTCATTTCATTTTGTCCATTTTGCATGATATATATGTTTTTTCATAGGAAGTCTGTCAGAAAACTAGTTGGCCGGTATGTACAGATCGAGATGACGAGATACATAGCTGCTAATTAATAATTTAATTGAGTTTAGCCTTGAGATGTTAGTATTGACGTTTGAGGATGACTGCTGTTCTTGTTTTGTCTGCCAGTGTTTTGTGCTTTTATGGCATGGACAACACTTCTCTGATATTCCTCCACTTATTAGTAATAAATGCTAAAAATATGAAATAAATTTGTCAGCTAGTATTTATTCTATTTGTATCAAATTTTTTATGCCAAATTCTGTATTTAATGTGGCTTCATCGAAATAATTCATATTGTGGTCAACTAATATATGAATAGCTAAGCCACATAAAATGGTACAAATGACATTCTCCTTATTTATTTGAAGCTCTAATATGACATTACTGATATTCATTCCTATAATTTGCTACATTGTGTTTTATTTAATACTATTATTTTTTTTGTTTACTGTCTACAAAATGATCTTTTTAGAGTAAATTGTATCTATACATTTAGTTGCTTCTGATAGATTTCAAATTATCTTGTGTAGGGGATTGGTAATCATTTTACATGGTCTGAATGAGCACAGGTTAGAATATTTAATTATTTTGAGGCATTAAGTGATTTCCAGTAAACTATTATGCTTATAATACTTAGCTTATTTGATTAATGAATTTGAACTTCTCTGTGGTAGGATCATGGAAATAATGGTAGTAATCTTAGATGTTTACTGTATACAACCATTGTCTGTTATTGAAAATATAGTCTACGAGTGTGAACATTCCTGTGACTACTTAACAACTTAATGGCAGTAATCTTAGATTTTCAGCGTTTTAGTTTTTAAAATGTTTTTCTGCATTTTTAAGTGTTCTTTTTAGTTTTTAAAATGGTTTTCAGCATTTGGAAGTATTCTTTTTAGTTTTTTAAATGTTTCTCAGCGTTTTCAAGTGTTCTTTTTAGTTTTTTAAAATTGTTTTAAGAGTTATTTTTTGACATTTACTTTCTTAATCTTGTTTTTCCTTCATTTCTGGGTTCTTTTCACTTTGATATTTTAAAAATGATTTTTAGCGTTTTTAAGTGTTCTTTTTTAATTTTAAAATGATTTTTAGAATTTTCATGTATTCTTATTAGTTTTTAAAATAATTTTTTTAGTGTTTTTAAGTGTTCTTTTTAGTTTTTTTTTTTTTAAATGATTTTCAGTGTTTTCAAGTATTCTTTTTAGTTTTTAAATGATTTTCATTGGTAGATATGGAGTATTTCTAAATTTTTAGATTTTTCAAAAAGCTAGAGGGGCAGGTTCCCCCTCCTTTCCCTAATTTTGCCACTGGGTGTGGGATAGGTACCTACATTGTGCACATTGATTTTGCCTTGGCTATGAAATTCTTAATGTTGAATAGTCTGATTTTGTGTACTGATTGCATGTTATTTAATTTTATCTTGCCAATAGGTTTCTGATGCGGATCATATTATGCGGTTCATATCTGGCCTCTGTATGGCCATTCCCTTTTTCAAGGTAAATACCACTTAAGCATTTGAATATTTGACAGTCTCCAATTTGTTTCTGCATTCAGTTACCTCTTAATGTATTTTTTTTAGAGGGGAGCATCAAGCAACAAGTTTCTTAACTATCTGAACAAGCAATTTTTTCCTGTTTTTGACAAGGTACTGCTTGAGTGACATAATCTATGTTTCTCATTTTGTTTTAATAATAATAATAATATGATAATTAGGGATACTTCATTTATTTTTCTTTTTATTTCTGCATTGTGAATTATCTCTGGTATATAATCTGTGTTCCTATTGCAAGGACTATGTTTGCAAGTTGGCTATTTGAAATGTTTTATGAAAGCTGGTTAATGAATTTCCATTTTGGAGATAAAACATATTATGATGTTTATGTGCTGGTAATTATTTAATGATGAAATGTTATTTTATGATGTAAATTGGCTTTCACAAGGCCTTGTTCAGCAACTACAATACATCTTGTAGAACTTCGTGTATTTCATAATTCAATTTTCGTTTTTTCTTTTCTTCATCTTGGATTATTTTGGAACTATTAGATGCAAGTAATACTTTTATATACTCAGCTTTGAGAAGAGCGAAAGTTGGACTTGCTGAAGGATGTAGCAGATTGTTCCCCCTATGCAAACCCACAAGATTCTCGTCAGCTTCTTTCACCCATTGTTCAGCTTCTAAAGGTAATGCCATAATATGTGAAAGAGACTTGCATATTTGCTTGTTCCTCCTATGCGAATCTGCATGTTTGGTGCTTTGGCAGAGTTGAAATGGCAATTTTCTGTGATCATTTGACTTTGCTGTTTTCAAACTTCTTCAAATAATTACACAATGCTGTTGAGTAAGAGAATGTTTCAAAGAACTACAGTGACTAAAGTCTAATTAATCACTAAAGTCTAATTAATGACTAAAGTCTTGGTCACTAGTAAGTCATGGAGATGATTTTTTTTTTTTATTTGTGTGGGATAAACGGATAAGTATTTTGATTACGAAGTAAGTAATTTGATTTCAATTCAAATCACTTAATTCATATTGTTTCGAAGTGCGTCCATCATCGAGTATCCATATCTACACAGTACTTAGAGTAGCATTGTATCAATTGACAGATATGGATCGAAGTTGGATGCATGAGAAACGAACTACATTCAAATATATGCAAGGAGTTCAAGAGTTTATACAATATGCTGAAGAAAATAGGAGTAAAAAGGCGGAAGACTTTATTGTGTGCCCGTGTTGTGATTGTAAAAATTTTAGGAGATATCGTAGTTCTGATGAAGTGAAGATCCATTTGATACGGCGTGGTTTTAAGGAAGGATACGATCGATGGATATGGCATGGTGAAAGCTTAATTCCAAGTACAAGTGCTAGTAAGGAAGCTCAATTAGATAGTGAAACTCATGTAGACTGTGAAACTCAGGCAAATAGACAAACTCATGAAGATAATGAGGGGAATAATGAAACTCGTGCTACCGAAAATGAGGACGATGAAGATCATGACCGAATAGATGAAATGATGCGTGATGTGCAGGGAGATTTTAGTGAAATGCCTCCTGAATTTAAAAGTTTGTTTGACAATGCTGAAAAACCTTTGTTCTCTGGATGCACTAAATTTTCTAAGTTAACTGCTGTGCTTAAATTATACAATGTAAAAGCAAGAAATGGATGGAGTGATAAGAGTTTCACAGAACTATTAGAACTACTAAAAGACATGATTCCTAGTGATAATGAGCTTCCTAATTCAACTTATGAAGCAAAAAAATTGTTGTGTCCGTTGAGTATGGACATTGAAAGGATACATGCATGTCCAAATGATTGTATATTGTATTGGAAAGAATACAAAGACTTGCATGTGTGTCCAAAGTGTGGGACATCACGTTATAAAAAGAAAGATGTTGATGATGTGTGTGAGAATAAGAAAGGTCCCCCAGCCAAAGTATTATGGTATTTACCAGTAATACCAAGATTTAAACGCATGTTTGCTAATCCAAGAGAGGCAAAAAATTTGCAATGGCATGCTATTGGGAGAAAAGAAGATGGAAAACTGAGGCATCCAGCTGATTCACCTCAATGGAGGAATATTGATAGGAGGTGGCCTGATTTCGGTTGTGAAAATAGGAATCTTAGACTTGGATTGTGTACGGATGGAATGAATCCTCATGGTAACATGAGCAGTCGACATAGTACTTGGCCAGTTCTTTTAGTAGTCTACAATCTTCCACCTTGGTTGTGTATGAAACGGAAGTACATCATGTTGTCGTTGTTGATATCAGGGCCTAAACAACCAGGCAATGACATAGATGTATATCTAGCGCCGCTTATTGAGGATTTAAAGATGCTGTGGAATGAAGGTGTGCAGGTGTATGATGCTTATACACGAAGCAACTTTACCTTACGTGCAATGATCTTTTGCACAATAAATGATTTCCCAGCATACGGTAACCTATCAGGTTATACTACTAAAGGAGCTAAGGCATGTCCTATTTGTGAAGATGAAACTTCCAGTCTATGGTTGAGTAACAGTAGAAAGAATGTGTTTATGAGCCATAGGACATTTCTCCCTATTGACCATCCATATCGAAAGAAGAAAAAAGTTTTCAATGGAAAATCTGAGACTCTAGTAGCTCGTTTGCCTTTATCTGGACACGCGATTTGTGAACGTGTTAAGAATGTAGATGTTGATTTTGGCAAGACTTGTAAGACTACTCAGAAGACTCTTTGGAAGAAAAGGTCTATATTTTGGGATCTACCGTATTGGGAGCATTTATCAGTTAGACATTGTCTTGATGTGATGCATGTTGAGAAAAATGTTTGTGACAGCATCATTGGAACACTGTTGAACATTCCAGGAAAGACAAAAGATGGTATTAAAGCTAGAAAAGATATGTTTGAAATGGGAATACGGGATAAGTTAGCACCACAAGAATCATGAAAACGGACATACTTGCCTCCAGCTTGTCATACTTTGTCCAAAAAAGAGAAAACAAGTTTTTGTGCCTGTTTAAAAGGTGTCAAGGTGCCTTCTGGTTATTCATCAAATATTAAAAAACTTGTGTCGATGAAGGACCTTAAGTTGGTTGGCATGAAGTCTCATGACTGTCATGTATTAATGCAGCACATGTTACCTATTGCTATTCGGGACATCTTACCAAAACATGTTAGACAAGCAATAACAAAACTTTGTTTTTTTTTCAATGCTATTTGCAGTAAAGTTATTGATCTAGATATGTTAGATGATTTGCAGGCGGATGTGGTTGTTACTTTGTGTCAATTTGAAATGTATTTCCCCCCATCTTTTTTTGATATTATGGTGCACTTGATTATTCACTTGGTGAGGGAAATTAAGATGTGTGGTCCGGTATTTATGAGGTACATGTATCCGTTTGAAAGATATATGGGAATATTGAAAGGATATGTGAGAAACCGGTACCGACCTGAAGGGAGTATAATTGAAGGTTATGGTGCTGAAGAGGTCATTGATTTCTGTACTGAGTACTTAGCTAATGTTGAGTCTACTGGAGTTCCTAAATCTCGTCATGAAGGAAGACTCACTGGGAAAGGTACTATTGGGTATAAATCATTTGTTCCACCTTTTCACTTGCGAGATAAGGCACATTATCTCGTGTTGCAACACCTTTCTGAGGTTCATCCGTACTTGGACCAACACATGTCCATAGTAAGACAACAAAATCCTTCAAAGGGTGAAAGATGGGTGACCATTGAACACAACCGCACTTTCAATAGATGGTTCAAAGATTTTGTGATGGAAGAGCTATCTCAAGTGCCAAATAATGTTAGTGAAACCATCAAATGGTTAGCTTATGGACCTAAGATGCTTGTGAGTTGTTATGAAGGTTATGACATAAATGGATATACATTTTACACTAAGCGACAAGATGAAAAGAGTGTGGTGCAAAATAGTGGGGTTACACTAGTAGCATTATCAAAAGATTATTCAAGCGCTAAGGATACTAAACCGATTGATGCTGCTATGTCTTACTATGGTGTGATTGAAGAAATTTGGGAACTTGATTACAAAGTGTTTAAAATTCCTCTATTCCGATGTAATTGGGTTGAGAACAGAAGAGGCGTTCGGGTAGATGAATTTGGTTTTACTTTGGTTGATTTTGAACGGTTGGGTTATAATGATGAACCATTCATACTTGCATCTCAGGCAAAACAAGTGTTTTATGTTTCTGATCCTGTTGATAATAAGTGGTCAGTTGTCCTACAAAGCAAAAGAAGGATTGTTGGTGTTAGTGATGTTGTGGATGAAGAAGAGTATGATCATTTTGATGAAACTCCTCCATTTTCTATTGGTATTCAATCTTTACCTTTGGAAGGTGATAACTTTGAAACAAGTTACATGCGTAGCGATCATGACGAAGGATTGTGGGTTGACTATCGGACATTATAATTTTTTGTTACTTTGTAAGATTAATAAAGTAATTCCTTAACTTTTTTTAGAGTATTTTATTTAATTTCAAATTCAATATAATATGTTTATTGATTTTATTTCTGTTTGTGCAGGTGTATGTAGACAACTATGAGTAATCAATCTACATCTATTCCTGCTTCTGCACCACCTAGAAGAAGAGGCCCTAACTCTTCCAGAAATTTGAAAAAGAAGAAGGCAAATGAACCAATTTCAATTCAATTTGATGAGTGCAATAGGCCAATTGGACCATATTCGAAGAAGTTTGTGTCTTATATTGGGATTATGGTTCGTTCTCAAGTAGATATCAACTTCAAGAATTGGCGGAGTGTAAAGCAAACCATTAAAGATTCAATCTGGGAAGATGTGAAGGTATCAAATCATTTAATATTAATATAATTACAATTATATATATGCCCATTGCTTATGTGTATGTTGTTTTTCAGAAAGAATTTGCTATTGAAGATGTTTCAAAGAAGTCTGTGGTTTTGAAAATTGCATCAAAAAGATGGAAAGATTTCAAAAGTAGATTGATTCGTGAACATTATAACAATAAGCACCCACTCTACGAATCTCCTGCACAACTTTATGATTACTTGTCGGTTGAGCAATGGGAGAAGTTTGTTGCAGGACGGCAGACTGAGGAGTTCAAGGTATTATTTAGCTCATTTAATTATAAGTAGTTCAAGTGTTTTATTAATATTAACATGTGAATAAAATTATAGGAGAAAAGTCGGAAGGCAAAAGAAAGTCAAGCGTTAAATGTGCATCCACATTTCTTAGGTTCTGCTGGATATGCATCTAAACGACAAGAGTGGATGATATCAGACCCCTTATCTTCACAATCTTCGTGTGCTACTATTAGCTCTTCTTTGATGTCCGATGACCGAAGCTTTGATTGGGTACGAGCAAGAACAAAAAAAGCAAAAGATGGAAGTTATTATATTCCAAACAAAAAAACACAAGAAGTATTTCAGAAAATTGTAAGTATACATTACACCTTAACTATCATTTGTTGGTTGCCTTCTTATGCTTCTTCTTCTGCTTAAAATGGTGAGCTTTGCCTAAATGGTTAGACATTAAATAAAAATGTCTAAGAGTAGTATTGCATATTAATTTATTAATGTTGCTGAATAGTTACTGGAGTAAGTGTGGTTAATAATAATCAATCGTAGAAACCTATGATCTAATGCAAACACACTGTTTTTTTTTTTTTTTTAACTGTTAAGTTACCTATTTATTAAAAGCACACAGTTATATTGGCTAGAAATATTGTTTCAACAACCTTTACTAACCCAATTCACAAACAAAATTAATTATGGGCATAAAACCATGCTAACCCAGTAGCAATTCCAGTAGCTCCTCACCACCAAGCCTCATGAACCAATATAGTCCATTAGATCATCTCATCCCCAGCTCACCATCAACACTGCCAAGCTTATCAAGTGTATCAAGAAACTGAATTTGAAGAGAATTTTGTTGCCTTAGGGTTAAAATAATAAAGTGAAACAAGCATGCTACCTCATCTTGAGCAAAACAACCCAAAATGCTAACTTAAATGACAACTTTGTTTACAAAAACACACTGCACACTAATACCAAAACACACTGCACACTATTACTCTGACATGCACCATGGCTTAGCAACCAGTGTTGGGGTACTGTATTCATGCAATGTTTGATTACAAAAATGAACATCATATCAGTCATAAGTTACTAATGATGTTTATTCAATTTTTTAATAAATTTAACTTTCTAATGTTGAATTATTATTATTGTTATGCATAAGTTACTGCAGTTTTTTGGGTAAAATTCAGTTTATTTTCCCTTTGGACTTATTTAATCACTACTAACTGTTTGACTACTCAAACTCACAAACACAATCAACTTATTTGTTGGAACAGGTAGAAAAATGTGAAGAAGTTAGTCAAGGGACTTTTCAACCGAAGAGACATCATGATATATTGTCAGCAGCTATTGGAAAGGAAGATTATTCGGGTTCTGCAAGAGGAGTTGGTGGATACGCTACTATCCAAGGAGTGTTTGGTAAACCAGAGCATCATAGAAGCACATCGAGTGGAGTTGTCTCGGTTGATGTTGTCAAAGAAATGATGGCGAAATGCAGGCAAGATGCAAGGCAAGATGCAATGACGGAGATGGAAGAAAGGTGGCAACCCAAGATTGAAGCTCTCAACCAACAACTCCATTTTTTGATGAAGAACATGCCATTAACACATTTAATTCCACAAGGTGTTTCGGATGGAACTCCTCAAAGTGTCCCTGCGCCTTGTGATATACCTCAGACCTGGAGCAGTTGTCATTCAGTTGATCCAATTGCCACAATTCAGGTAATAATATTAATTAGTTATTTCATAATCAAAATATCATTTCTTGTAAGATTAAGAGTAATATTTTTTTTATAATAGAGTGCGAAAAGGTGTAGACTTGCAGTATGTTCTGGTGGGATACCGATTGAGGTTGCAACAGGTATTGTTCACCCAAGAACAAATGAGACCATGGTGTATCATCAATCACTATTACCAAATTGTGTCAAAGTTTTTGTTGATGATGTGGTTGATGGTAGAGGAAAATTTAATATTCCCGTGCCAACACAACTTTATGCTACTGTAGAAGATATCATTGGCAATTTTGCACAGTGGCCTATACATTTAGTGATTTTGAATGAGGTATATATACATTATTAAGTTAATTTTTATTGTTTATATTTAAAATATTAGTATAATTACAATTTTATATTGGTAGGAAAAAAAGAGTTCACCAAACCAAAATAAAAATATGGGAGATCAAAGTGGTGAACTATCTACTACTGGAGTGCGACCTCCCATTGTTGGAGATGATGTCTTACAGCACTTAGGGGACAATTGCAAGTACTTAGTCAGTTTGTTGACATCATTTCGACTTGATAAAGACTGCATAGAGTTGGAGTGTGATGAAACAATCTTCTGTCATAGAAACACGCGTTTTATTTTCGTGATGGTGGAAGATATAAAGAATTTGATGATGATGACAAATTGGCTTGACGTGTCAATCATACAAGTGTTTATATTGTAAGTTTTTTAAATTATTCTTGTGTTTTATATATATTTCTTAAGTTTATTAGCAGTTCATTTTTAACTGTTAATTTTCAGATTTCTTAATCAGTTGTGTAATCAGAATCAAGTTACGTCGATCGGGTTTGCGTGTCCAACGCAAATTTCAAAGGATATGGCTAAAAGGAACGGTCCTGCTGTGGCGTCATATTTCATTAAACTCATGGAGCAGCATAATAATAAACAATTCATTTTAGCACCATATCATCAAGAGTAAGAAAATTGTTCCTTTACTTTAATAATATAACTTAATACCTTTATTTCAAATATTAGACATTAAATTTTTGGGAACATGTGCGTTTTTTTAATAATGTAGCAATCATTGGTTACTTCTGGTGATTTGCTTACGCTCAAAAAGCGTATATGTGTTGGATCCCATGGCTTCTAATCGCCGCACCATTCAAGTTAAAGCTTCTCTGAATATGTAAGTACTATACATAAATACATTATTAATATAAGTATTTTAATTTATATTAATTATAATTTTTTATGTATATATATGTTTATAATTAATATTTAATATAGGGCATTTCGTTCTATTCCTACTGGTGATGGACGAGCGACTAAAAATATCAACTGGAAGACATGCAAAGTATGAAAAGTAATTAATTAAAGTTTTAATGTGATAGTTTGAATTTTTATTGTTTAAAATACTAAAATATATATATGTATTTTGTAGTGTCCACAACAAGTGGGAGGTTATGAGTGTGGATATTATGTGATGCGATACATGTTTGATATTGTGACAAAATATTCAACTGTTGATAAATTAGATGAGGTAAGTGAATTTAAATAGAAGTATTTATAGTTCAATTATATTTTATTAATTAATATATTTAATAATTTGATTACTTAAATTATTTTGTAGGTATTTGAAAGCAATCCGTACTCTACCGATGAAATTGATGAGATTCGAGACTATTGGGCAAAGTACTTCTTGGAAGAGTGCATGTAATTAACTTGTTTTTTTGCTAGTTGGTTAATTAAAAGTTTTTAGGTAATGCATGTGTTAACTATATATTAGGATGGATTGTGAGAGTATTGTATGTGTTGAAAGTATTTGGATGGATTATGATATAGTGTTAAAATTGTATTATTGATAATATTGTGTTAAATTAGGTTGATGGATGGGAGTATTGTTTTTATAATATTGTGTTGATATATATTTAATTTGTGAATATAAATTTGTACAGGATTTTTAAAAAAATTTGGGAATTTTAAAAATAATAAATTATTTTTAAAATAAAAAAACAAATCCGCTACCCTTTCTATGAAGGAAGAGTAGCGAATGAAGTAGTAAAATGAAGAGAAATCCGCTACCCTTCTATCAGAAGAAGGGCAGCGGATATTCTAGTAATCCGCTACCACTCTACAAGGGACGCGGAAACATATAGGGTTTCTGCGTCCCTCGTATACGCTACCCTTGTACAAGGGTAGCGGATAGCCTTGTACAAGGGTAGCGGATTTACAAATCTGTACTAGTGGAGTATCAGTGCCGCCGTTTCGTTTGTAAAAACATCATATGCGGATTCGGGCTACCCGAGCAACTGGTAACAGATAACGGACGGCAGTTTGATAACCGAGCCTTCGCGGCCTTCTGCGTTTAGAATGTTATACGACACATTAAGGTATCCGTAACCTACCCTCAGGCCAACAGACAGATTGAGAACCTAAACTGCACCCTCTTGGACGGACTGCGAAAGAAGCTGGAAGAGCTGGGCGACACATGGGTCGAACAGTTGGAAAATGTCTTATGGGCTTACCGAACAACTCCGCGAAGGGCTACGGCCAAAACCCCCCTTGCCTTGGCATACGGGTTCGAGGCGAAGGTCCCGACGGAACTCATAGTGCCAAGCCGGCGAGTCCTGCTGTACAATGACGAAGGCAACGAGGAAACGTTGCGGATTGAGAAGAATCTGTTTGAAGAAAGGCGAGATATGGCTTATGCCCGGATGGTCGAATAGCAGCAAGCTGTCAAGCGCTATCAGGATAAAAGAGCCAAAACCAGATACCTCCAAGTAGGGGATCTTCTGTTGAGAGAAAGGACGGCTAGTCGGTCCACCGAGGGGGGAAAATGAAGGTCGAGTTGGAAGGACCATACCGGGTCGTGAGTGAAGTCTACAGGGGGACTTACCGGTTATAAACCACGGAAGGAGAGCCCGTGGAGCGAACGTGGAATGCCCACCATCTTAAGAAATTCTACCAGTAACCGGACAGTTGCATTTGTTTCCCAATTTTTTATCCTTTGATTAGTTCGTTGTAGGCACCTAGCGGCCATTAGTTTCGTGGGAATTTCGTTTCAATTGGTTGAAAATAAAGTTCAAATTACTTCGGCAACGGGGTTCTCCTTTGGTTTTGGTCACCTCCTTTCCACGAGGATGGCTGATACCGCCTGCTCAGGCGAAGGCGGCCATGGCGCAAGGATGATCACCTCCTCTCTACGAGAATGGCTGATACCGCCTGCTCAGGCAAATGCGGCCATGCAGTAAGGACGATCACCTCCTCTCTACGAGGATGGCTGATACCGCCTGCTCAGGCGAAAGCGGCCATGCTGCGAGGATGATCACCTCCTCTCTACGAGGATGGCGAAGGCGGCCATGTGTAACACCCCGTGTTACGGCCTCTAACCCAAACTAATTATTTAATTACTTACCATTAAAAGAGAATTGAATTCCCTTAATTAATTAGGAAGGGTCCACCATAGACCATGGACCCTTATCCCTAAACCAAACCCTTAGTCTGATAAGGAATAGAATAAGTAAATCCCTACCATTCAGACCCTAATTAGGACTCTTAGATATATATAAGGACATAAGAGGCACCTAGAATTCACACCACAATAGACTCCACCACACAAGAATTCCCAAGAATTCCCTCTATCACCAAGCGTAGGAGAAATCAAGAAGAGGAGATCTTAGAGAAAGAACCTTAGTAACCAAGGATTCTAAATTAAGGCTATGAGGTAACCCATGTATCAACAAAACCTATTTTCCTTGCTATAATCTTCTTCTTTGGCTCCATTGATATGCAATTCTATGCTTGTGTCTTGATAAGGCTTTTATGATGATTATGAGATAATCTTGATGTTTATGACATGATCTTTTGTGTTGATCTTGATGTTTATGAAAGGGTCTTGATATTTGTTTGTTCATCTTGATAATCTTGATTGTTTTTGATTTTAAAGATAAAATTATGATCTTGTGCTTTAAATATGATTAGAGCCCTAGGGTAAATTGTGGATATTGTGTTATGATATTCTTGGTATGTTTGGGCGGGATTTTGCATGATCGGGTATTCGGTCTTGATTATGTTTAGAAGCCATGCTAGGATGTATTTAATATGATTCTTGATCTTAATCCATTACTTGATTACGTGGTGTCGTCGTTTGTGTTTAAATGTGTCTAGACATGGTTTCGGGTTCCACGAAAGATCCTGGGACCAACCTATTACAAAAGAGTCAGTGGGGGGTAGGTGGGGGAAGGGGTACCCGCCACTTACCCGCTGCCCCAATAAGGCCGCCGGCAGCGGGCAGCGGGCGGGTAGGCGACTGCCCGCCGGGCACCCGCTGCCCAGTGTTGCGCCGCCGGCCACCCGTTGGAAATTCCATGTAGAAGTTGGTGGTTTTCCCCGTTTGATGTTTCCCCGTGTCCCGTGGTGTCCCATTGGATCCCGTTTGTTGTGCCTGAGTCTAGTTTGATGTTTCGGGTACCGTTCGTAGGATAAAAGAGTCTTGTGTATTGCATGTTAGTCGGATTGGTATCCCGTTGGCCTAGGAGAAAGATGCATGAACCCCTTAGGCATATATCTAGTAATGTGGTTGACCACGCATAAGTTTTATATACATGGTTTCCCCCTCCCTATGTGCTAATGTGGATTGCATGTGCTTGGCTATGTGTTATGTGTGCATGATACCCCAATTGGTTGCGATCAATTGGCTATACAGGCAGTTGGATGGGTTGAGAACCATCGGATGTTAACCAGTCTGGTTGCGATCGGTCAGGTATATAAATATATATATATAGGGTTGCGGTCCACCATTTGGTTGCGATCAAACGTTATAAATGAGTTGCGGTTCATCAATCTGGTTGCGATCAGAAATACACACTATTCGGACTGCGGTCCACAGTTTGGTTGCGATCAAGCGTTATAAATGAGCTGCGATTCATCGATTGGTTGCGGTCAATCTCCTTGTGCAGCGGTACTGGCGTGGTGCTTCGGGGCCATGCTAGAGCTATATGCGCTGGCGCTTCGTGTATGGGCGCGTGAAGGGTCCTGCGACACCACCAAATGTGTTTATGTGTTGAGATAATGATTGAATACTGATATGTTCGATGTGAAATAATCTTGTGACCTTAGGGTGTATGCTAGTATCTTTATATGCGTGATTATAACTGATGAATGTGCTTACCCTTACTTGTTGAGTCTATTCTCGATTTTAAATTAGAGTCTCATAAGTATATATATCTTCTGGCTTCAAAATGGTTTTCCTTATATATATATATATATATATATATATATATATATATATATATATATATATATATATATATATATATATATATATATATATATATATATATATATATATACCTATATTTTATTTTAACGCGTTGGAGTAGGTTACCAGCATTATTCGCTAAACAGATATATTTGGCTTTCAGGCACAGATGAGTAGCTCCGGAGCGCGCTAGAGGACCCGAGGCTTAGTTAGTTAGTTTTCTTTTCGGCCTGCGTGCCATGATGATGTATTAACACTGCTTTGAGGATGTTTAGACAGTATAGCCTGTGCATCTGAGTTCTCTAGCTCATATGTGGCATAACACCCCAAACACTTATGTTTAGTTATGCTCTGTTTCAAGGTTTAATGATAGTATTGCCTTTATTTCATAAGCATTCAAAGTTTTAAATTTTAGGGGTGTTACACCCTGCTCAGGCGAAGGGGGCCATGCCGCGAGGATGATCACCTCCTCGCTACGAGGATGGCTGATACCGCATGCTCAAGCGAAGGCGGCCATGCCGCAAGGATGATCACCTCCTCTCTAAGAGGACGGCTAATACCGCCTGCACAGGCGGAGGTGGCCATGTCGCAAGCAAGTTCTAGAATGTTTCTCGGGGGCTCGTAGGCAGCCAGCCTCGCCCACTGAGGGACTCGACGAGTTGTGAAGTTCCTCGGCGACTCGTAGGCGTCCAGCCTCGTCCGCTGAGGGACTCGGCCTTCTGGAATATTTCTCGAGGACTCGTAGGCAGCCAGCCTCGTCCGCTGAGGGACTCAGCCTTCTGGAATGTTCCTTGGGGGCTCGTAGGCAGCCAGCCTCGCCCACTGAGAGACTTGGCGAGTTTTGAAGTTCCTCGGGGACTCGTATGCAGCCAGCCTCGTCCGATGAGGGACTCGGCCTTCTGGAATGTTCCTCGGGGGCTCGTAGGCAACCAGCCTCGTCCACTGAGGGACTCGGCCTTCTAGAATGTTCCTCAGGGGCTCGTAGGCAACCAGCCTCGCCCACTTAGGGACTTGGCAAGTTTTGAAGTTCATCGGGGACTCGTAGGCAGCCAGCCTTGTCCGCTGAGGGACTTGACCTTCTTGAATGTTCCTCGGGGGCTCGTAGGCAGCCAGCCTCGCCCACTAAGGGACTCGCGAGTTGTGAAGTTCCTCGGGGACTCGTAAGCGGCCAGCCTCATCCACCGAGGGACTCGGCCTTCTAGAGTGTTCCTCGGGGGCTCGTAGGCAGCCAGCCTCGCCCTCTGAGGGACTTGGTAAGTTTTGAAGTTTCTCGGGGACTCATAGGCGACCAGCCTTGTCCGCTAAGGGACTCGGCTTTCTGGAATGTTTCTCGGGGGCTCGTAGGCAACCAGCCTCGCCCACTGAGGGACTTAGCTTGTTTGGAAGTTCCTCGGAGACTTGTAGGCAGCCAGCCTCATCCGCTAAGGGACTCGGCCTTTTGGAAGTTCCTCGAGGACTCGTAGGCAGCTAGCCTCGCCCGCTGAGGGACTTAACGAATTCTTGGATGATCTCTCGGGGGGCTTGAAGGCGGTCAACCTCGCCCCTCGAAGGATGTGGCAACTCTAGAGCCCGCCCGTGCCACGCGGGCGGACAGATATGCTCAGAAAATAAACAGGCCGGAAGGAAAAGA